TATGTAACGATCAAAACTCACTTTGAGAGGTTTTTTAATTCCTTGTTGTGCACTTGAAGAGAGAGATTTTTTTTAAGAGATATTGGATATAATTTATTATAGAGAACTTGCAAATATAATTTTTTTAATGCTTCGTTAGGTTTTATTTTTTTCTTTTACCTGGTGGAGAAGTGGAGAAATTTGAAATTGTGACATTTCAATTAGAGACAAGAGACGTGCGTCAATAACTGTTTTTTACTCTTCAAATTTAAATGATGCGCGTAAAAGTTTTCCGATTTAACTATTGAAAGTAGAATTTTTTTACACATTTACATTTATTATATTTATTTTTTAAAAACTAAAAGATTTAAATCTCTCAATTGTATATTCCTTTAATTACTGTGGACTAGATTAATTCACTCATTCAAAAAGATTTATTCTCATGATTAAGCAATATTATTAATTACAAAAATATCTTAGATGAGTATAGACAAGAGTTTTCACAACTATTTAAACATTATAAAATATATCTGACTAAACTTTTTGAGTTATAAAATATATGCGGATATAATCTAAATCTTATATAAACTTGGATATTTTACAATTATCTTCAAATTACTTACAACTATCTCCTTTAGTTAATACTCTAATTCAAACTAGTTAATACTTACAACTAAATGTTTCTTACTATTTCTTGTTTTTATCCAATTTACCCAATTCTACTCAGTATAAGGAATCAAACGATATATCCTCATATATACAATAGTTCATACCCAAAAACAACTATTGAAGATAATATGGGTATGGAAGGGGTTTAACAGTACCAAAAAAAAGGTTTTCAACATTGTTCAAATTTGAAATTTGAAATTGAAAACTAGGAGGATATATTTGAATGCAAAATATATCGAATATTATATGGTGAGACAAAACAAACCTTCCGGTTGTTGACTAGACAATGATCGGGATAAATGGAGACGAAGGAGAAGCTAGATAGATTGCTCCAGCGACGGAGAAGAACGAAGACGGAGATCGGAGACGAAGGAACATAGACGGCGGCTAGAGACGAAGTAGCGGACGGAAACCGAACGACAGAGGAAAAATAATAGTTGACGGACTGCTCTGGCGATGAAGAAGAACAAAGACGGCGGTCGGAGAAGAAGGAACGCAAACGGCAGCCGAATACGAAGGATTGGACGGAAACGGAACGATAGAGGAAGAAGAAAAAGTCGGAGGAACGAGGTTTTAAAAAGTTCTCAATTTGATTAGTATTTTGGGGATTTTGAATTGTAAAACCTCGCAAGTAACGAATTTTGGATTTTAAAAGTTAATTAATATTGAGACATGGATACAAAACGATATGCTAGTAATTTTGGTGATGAGTACCATCTTAAATAGGGTTGTTTCATGGCAAAAATATAAATTTTATAGGTTCAATCGTTTTATGTAATTATAGTCTCTAAATAGCCTATTAGTGTACTAATCCCTATAAAGATATATTGAGTGCTAACGTATTAAAATTATACTTATTTTCTTATTATTATTATTTTTTTATAATCGAGAATCGGAGCTTTATTCCACTATATGCAAGGGTACCCACACCCGTCCTAAGGTTCGGACTCGGGAGATACTAAAATTTTTTGGCATTAGATTTATCAAAATATTCAAACTTGAGACCTCTGAACTAATATAATTAGAAGGTAGTATTTGCCTACTATGCCGTCCATAGGAGGGAAGTCATACTTTTGACTCACGAAGTTTCTAGTGTTTTACTTTGGCGTTTATTTATTTATTTTTATTTTTATTACATTTTGCCAAGGAAATCGTCAGAGAGTTAGGCTGCAATAGTCTCCTGGTCAATGAAATAAAAACTAATCAAAATAAGTGGGTTTAAAATTTAAATGTTATTTTGGTATTTTATTTTCAGCTTCATCCATTTATTTTTTAATAAATTATCATTTAAGTCCATTTACAATGACTAAATTATTAATTTGTTTTGAAAAGGAATTTTTTTTTGAGTGATGTTATTTTTTTTAACTTTTCTACTCGATATCCTATTATTTTAAGTTCCACTCATATAAATTCTTTCGGGTCGAATTTGTTAGGGAGTTGAAAGTGTCAGACTGTTTCAGTAGATTTTTTTTATTCATGATCTATTGGTTAGAGATAGATGCCTTAATCATTTGAGTTATGTTCGGGACAAAAATGACATAGATTAAAATAATATTTAAACAAATTTGAACTTTTTTAATACACTAAGTTGGATCGGGATTGAACTCACCACCAAAGCTTTAATTATTGGTGCTTCAAAAATTTATTACTTATTTTCTGTTTGGCTGGCAAGAAAATTGCAAGGAAAATCCGAGCCAACGCGACTATCACATAATTCATAACAAATATACAATAATTTACACAATTAATTAAACATGATCTCTGAACAATCAATTTACAAGGAAGAACAACCGGATTCCGGCGGAAAAGAAAACAGAGCTAGAACTTTCACCTGAAGAACAACAACTTCCTCGGGGGCGTAATTTGAATGACGAGTCCAGGGAAAACATCATCGGAGTCTTGAATCTGCGGATTCTGCTCTACAATGAACGGATCGCCGCACTTGGCGCTGATGCTGTGCAGCGTCTCGCCTTCTCCGACGACGTAGATCTCGTCGCAAGGGCGGCCGCCGCCGGGTTCGGCGGAGGCGACGAACATCATCAGCGCCGCGAAGACGACGATTGCGCAGTAGCAGCTTGAAGAAGTGGATGAAATTGAAATTGCGTAAGCCATGAGAATTTGAGAAATTCGAGAGATCATGGGAAATATAAAGGAAATGGCGGCAGAATTAAAGAAGGTCTGGTCAGTTATGGCGGTTTGAAGAAGCAGAGCAATTTTGATGGCCGCTAGGGGATGCTTCGTAACGCAACTTTTCTAACATTCGCTTTTCTTTTATTTATTTATCTATCTATTTATTAATTAATTATTACAACAAGCGAAATAGAAAATTTGAACTCAAGACCCATTGATCATAAGAACAATACTAATAACTGCTGAGACAAACTCGTGTCGGTGAGCATTTTGTAACTATTTCTTATTTCTTATCCATTGTGTTTAATAGTAATTTTTTTTTATTTTCTAAAATTTTAAATGAAAATTAATTTTTTTAATTAAATATTCTAATTTTGTAAGTTTGGTTTAATTTTAATATTTATGATGTATTTTATGAGTCAATAATTATAAATAATTTAATTATATTTTGAAAAAAACAAGACGAGATTTGATTTGGTTGTTTTTCAAAGTTTCTAAATAATTTTGAAAATATTTATTAAAAATAAGAAACAATAAACATGAATTGTTATTAAACACTTATGTTTGTTAAGAAGTGGAAACGAGAAACGAGTAAAAAGAAATATGAATTGTTATCAAACGAGTCCAAGTTGATCCATGATAAACTTATATAGTGTAATACTTAGTGAATTGGAATAGAAGAGAGAAATTGTCATAAAGAGAATAATACTTGAGACTTGTATCAATTTCTTAAAAAATTTATAGGAATGAATTGAAATTTTCTTCTCCTAGATAACTTTTTTCTTCCTCTAAACTTTCGTCGATTCACTTAATATTATATCAGGTAAGTTTATATCAGATGTCAAAACATTAGGAATTAAACATATATTTAGCCTCTAATTTCTTTTGTTCTTTTTGTTTTGGCTGGAGAAGTCATTCAAAGTTAGTCTTAAATTTGGTTTTGACTTTCCCTCCTCTGAATTTTGTATGGAAAATATCATAAGAGCATGAACTAAAACTTTTAAAAGTTGAAGTACTAAAATTTGTTGGTTAAATAGGTAAATTTCACAATATTTATATTTCATTAATATTATATCAAAAATATCATTATTATGTTTCGATATGGATATTGTTTTTTCATAAATTTTAATTTAAATAATTCAAGTCAACCTAAGCATAGTTCAATTAAGAAACCGAGTTTGAATCTCATCTTCAAAATCTCGATATTCAACCATTTATCTAAGGAAAAAGGGACATGTTATAAAATTTTTTATTCATATATTCCCGTCAACTTGGGCTGCCTAGAAGCTGAATTTGACAAATTACCAAAGTTAGTTAAAATAATTTCAAGTTTTATATTGAAGAGACGGCGGCTTCTCAAGTCAACAAATCTTTAGTCATTTTTAATTTATTTTTCGTAAATAAATATTTAGTCCTTAGTCACAAGTTTTACGTCAACTTTGCATCACATATTCTAAATTTTTAAATAAGTGTTATTTATTTATCCATAAAGTATTTTTTTTTTGGGATCGAATAGTTGAAAAATGTTAAACCTTGGAAACAAGCCCAAATGAAAACCCATATATTCTTGAAATATGTAGACATAGTTTAAATCATATTTTCTTCTCTTTTTAACATTTTAAAAAATAATTATTTTGATTTTTTCTAATTTCAAATTTCAAAACTTTTATTTTATTTTGATCTTTTAAAATTTTCAAAATCAAAGTCTTTATTTTTGTTGAGGTAGAGTTTTGACAACTATTGGACGAATATATTCATCCAAAAATAGTAGTACATGCACAAGACTTATTCAACACATATCAATACTAAAGTACGTAGGGTTGACGAGATAATTAAAATTGCTTAACATATTATGAGACTTCTTCTCTTTTTATTTACTCATTTGAGAGTCATTTAGAATCCATTTGATAATGTTCTTCTTGTTTCATGTTTCTATTTCCACATTTTTAATTAAAAAAAATTACGTGCCCCAACACCCTTAAATTAAAGATTAATAAAACAATACTTTTGTTTATGTTTTGGAATAAATGTAAAACGAAAATAAGAAATAACTAACTTATTTACGTTGTTTTCAAAATTTCTATACAAATTTAAGAATATTTCTAAAAAATGAAAAATTATGTTTCTAAACAACAAACATAAATAGTTGTCTGAAAGAGAAAACGAAAATATTATTAAGGATTCTTAAAGTTCTTGACCATTGATGGATTCTTAAAGTTTTTGATCATTGATGGATTGTTAGAAACAAGAATCGAGAAACGAATGACTTGATAGATTGTTAGAAACAAGAAACGAGAAACGAAGGGCTTATTTGATAACGTCCCTGTTTCTTGTTTTTATTTCTTTATTTTTATTGAAGAAAAATGTGCATGATAAAACAATCTTTTTATTTATATTTTGAAACAAATTGGAAATGAGAAAAAAAAAAGAGAATCAAGAAAAATGTGCATGATAAAACAATCTTTTTATTTATATTTTGAAACAAATTGGAAATGAAAAAAAAAATGAGAAACTTATTTTGATTGTTTCCAAAATTTCTATATAAAGAATGAATAAAATTAGTTGTATAATGTTTAGATTTATTAAGAAAATAAAAAACGAGAAACAAGAAACGAATGGGTCTGAAAATATAGAGTTCTTCACCATCCACTATCATCTTGCTTACCTAACATAGTCCAATATTAGACTATCAATAGTCATTGTAAATATTATATTTTAGAAACAATATGATACTTTATATTTAGATGTGTTCACCAAATAATACCGTATTTTTTATATTTAAGTATTCATCGATAAAAAAAAACCTAAAAAATGAATAAATAAGAAAGAGATATTTAACACTACACATAAATACTTGACACTACATTATCCAACCATTAGAACTACTAATAAATCAAATATTTAACAAGTTTTAAGCCATTTTTTATATCTGCAAAAAGGAAACTCAAAGAGCCAAAATATTTCCCCACATGCATTGTGAAGTTATATATATATATCCATACGTACAAAACCTATGGCACAGCCTACGTCTCGTCTTCAACACCGGCCACATTCCTCAAAACCCAGCCGAGAGCATATGCCGCCCCCGCGGCAACGGCGCCGTTCAGCACCGTTACGGCTACGGAGAAGCCATAGTTCCCGGCTGCAATCTTCGCTCTTGCAATCCCGAGAAGCACGAGAGCAAGCGCAGCCAGGAGGCAAGCTCCGCCGAACTTGATGGACTCGTTATCGGTGAACGGGATGAGGACGATGAAGGAGAGTAGCGGGACGCAGCCGAACGCAAGGAAGGATCCGAATGTCACAATGCCGTTCTTCCACGGCCGCTCTTTGCTCTCCTCCGGTGGCGCCGCCATGCCATTCTCCGCCGCCATCTTCTCCTCCACCAGGATGTGTTTGTACTTCGCTATTATGTTCACCACCTGAGAAGTTAAACGTCAACTTCATAATGTGTATAATATTATCCATTTTGGACAAAAATGGAAAGCTTCGTTTCAATGGAAATGTCTTATATTGCCATGATCATACCGTTGGAATTTTGTTTGCAATCACCTGACATAGTTTTATATGGAAATGTTTTATATTCCCATGATCATCCGTTGGAATTTTGTTTGCAATCACCTGACATAGTTTTATAAATCTTTGGACATAGTTTTATTCCCATGATCATTCCATTTCCTAATTAACCAAGGTGAAATTTTATTTGCAATCACCTTCGGACATAGTTTTTTTTTTTTACGACTTTGTTTTTTATTCTACCCAAACTTATGCGAATAGAGATAATAGAGATAATTGTTCCTATTTTATATATCCATGGTCATCCGAGCACTTTATTTCTACTCCTTTACAAATCCTCCTCCTCCCTAGTACTTTATTTCTACTCCTTTACAAATCCGACATCTTTGTCCGTAGACCAATCAATGACACTCTCAAGTTTCAAGGACTCCCTTTCCCCTAGTTCACCCACTATATACTATATTGTTATGGAGAAATGTTCCTGAATGTCCCATTCTTCAAAAGAATTTTTTATGGGATCCCTATCTACTAAAATATCTACCAAAATTTTTACTCGAATATATCAAATTCTACCGAAAAACCTATTCGTGTCAGTCAATTCAAAGCCAGAAAAAATGGTTTATAATATTCAAAAGATCCTTGAGTTGGATGGATGGAGGATTGGCTTCGGTGCGTCCCTTAGTATTAAAATGTCACGAATTCTAACATAAAAACCCAACTAAAAGATGTATAATATATATAAAAGATGTAGTGTTTAAGGTTGTCCACAAATCAAAAAAATTAGTATAGATGTCTCTGATTAAGAAGTGAAGTCATGAACTGAGAATGAATTAGAAATTAGAATATGTATAAAGAGAGGGAAATTAGAAATTAGAAATTGAAAATCTTGTGGAAAATTGCGAGTAAATGAAAAGGGGAAGAGAGAGAGAGAGAGAGAGAGAGAGAGAGGAGGACGTTACTGTAGAGGCATCGTTAAAGTCCATGCCGAGGGTCTGATAGTGGCGGAGGAGGAGCTGCTGCTGCTGGGCACGGCGGTTGTCGACGTCCCACTCCGCCGCCGCCCTCCGCTCGGCGGCGACGTCCCTGCCGGTGGCGGTGGACACGAAATCCCCAAACCCCATCGATATTCCATCCGCTATTAAGTTCGCAAATCCAAGCACCAGCACATCCACTGCGCCGTCACACCAATAAACAACAATAATCAAATTTCTTATTTTTTTTATTTTCTATACTTAAACAATTATTTCTTTTAATTTTTTTTTTAATTCTGTCCTTAATTTATTAAAGTTTATAGTTTCTACTCTCCCAATACAGCCAACAATTTCAGTCTAAATTTTGCAGAGAAAACAGCAAATTAAATTAAACTGAATTTTTTAATTTTATTTGTCTAGAGAGAGTGGGCTGACCAGCGGAGTGGCGGCTAGCGGAGATTGAAGCAATGAGAGAGAAACAAGTAACAATGGCGTCCAGACCGCCATAAACGATGCTTTTTGCCAGCTCTCCGTTCCACGGTTCCTTTGGCCTTTCGTTTCCCTTATTTTCCGGCGAGATTAGCACCTCGGCGGCGGCGGCGGCGGCGGATGACGCCATTTTTGTTGGAATTCTTGGAAGTTTTCCGGTGAGGGAGGTCCGGCCCAGGGTAAATAAGGGATTTAAAAAAGGGAAGGAGGGTGTATGTGGTGGGGCTTACGTGGAACGGTGCATGACAACAAACTTGACGTATGGCAAAACGTATGGGTTTTGTTATTTATTATTATATTTTGTTAATGGCTAAATCACAAAAAAAATAAAATAAAATAAAATAAAGAAGAGAAAACTCGGAAATTTGAATACAATCTTTTGAATGGAAAGTTGATAATTAAAGTGGGAGCTTATTTGGAAGAATTAAATAATCATAGGTTAAAATAATAGTTTGGTTCCCTAATTTTCATTTTGGTTCATTATTTTGGTCTTTATAGTTTGAGGTTCATTATTTTGGTCTTTATAGTTTTAAAAGGTTTGTTTTCATCGCTGTACTTTTAATTTTAATTTATTTTAGTTATTGTACTTTCAAAATATTCCTGATTATTTTGATCTCTTAATTTTATTTTTAATCTTATTTTTTTCTATCACAATTTCAACACGACATTAAAATCAATATATTTCTTAAGAGTTTCCATTATGTGTAAAATTTATGTTAAAACTTTACAATGAGACACTAGAATTTTTAAAAGTATAGAGATTAAAATGAACGAAAATACAATGACCAAAATATTAGTTTAATCTAAAGAATACTAGTAAAAAAAATCACGAAGACCTATAAATTGACTATTTAAAGGTTAAATTTGTTAGAGTGATAGTTAAATGTTTCTAATTAGCCTTGACATCAATTTTCATGGTTCAAAATATTAATTAATGAGCGAGCAAAGTATTTTTTTAACTTTAAAAGTTGCATGGAAGTTATTTTGAAGGGATGCAAGTATTTTTGAAACAAATAACAAAATTCAGTATTTTTTTTTTTAGTTTAGACAAAATAAAAACTAAACGTCGTAACGATTTTATTTTTAATTTTACTGTGGGTGTTTTTTTTATTATTCTTTCAACATATTTAAATTTTTAGGAGAATTTAGAAAACAAAAATAAAAATCTAAAATTACTTTATTTTTTAGGAAACGTTTTCTTTAGGTAACAAAAAGTAAAGAAACACAAATAATAATGTTTCTAAATTAAAATGTCGCAGAAAGACTTAAAAAAAATAAACTCTAAAATTGTCAAGTAAACTCTTGACCTTTTTTTTTTTTGTCTAATCTATAAAATTTAAAAGATTTTCCATGAATCTCTTGATTTGTTAGACACTTTTTAAAATTTATAATCTCTAAAACCCAACTGTAAAAGTTCATCAAATTTAAAATATACTTTACAATAAACTGTATCACTCCTAAAAATATTTATAAATATAAAAAAGGAGAATTATATCGTGATTGCTATAAATATGATTAAAAAAAAATTGCCATAAATTATTTACTACAATTATAGTAAAAAAAATATTTATGGTAATTGTACTAAAAACATACTTCTGTCGAAAAAAAATACATAAACTAAAAAAATTTAAAATAAATTTTTAGAAAATAAAAGTTACCGTTTCAAAATTTATCTTGAAAATCAGATAATTACATAAACAAATCTTATTTAAGGAAATTTCGGGGGAAAATAAAATAAATAAATAAAAGGGGCCCTTTTCTAAACGTTGTAACGGTAACAAACCATCAACATTCTGAAAATTGAAGTTTCTGCTGAACAGGCGAATGAAGATGAACCTCTCTTCCTCAAAGTTTCGATCAATCTCTTCAAGAAAACGCTTCATCTTCCTCGCGATTTCATGAATCCATTGCTGAATCAGTGGAAGCAATGGGAGTCGGCGGCCACTTCTGGGATTTGCTGAAGCCTTACGCCCGAACTGAGGGCTTCGATTTCCTCAGGAACAAGCGGGTCGCCGTCGACCTCTCCTTCTGGATCGTCCAGCACGAGACCGCCATTAAAACCAACGCTCGAAGCCCCCATTTGAGGCTCTCCTTCTTCCGCACCGTCACTCTCTTTGCCAAGGTCTTGTTGCTCGTGTTTTTGTTTCTTTGCCTGCAAGAATTCGGCATGGAAATTCCTTGCCGGCAAAAATTTTAGAGAATTTTCGGGGTTTGTGATGTGCTTTTGCGATTCTGTTTGTTGCCTAGTGAGTAACATGAATGAATTTGAGAAGAAATTGGGAATCGCTATTTTCTCGTTTTCTTTTATTTTTGTTTTCTTTGTTGATGAGTATCCTATCAGTGAGTTATTGATTTATGTTAGGCTTTGATTCACAAACTGATGGTGATGCTGTTGTGTATTTTACAGTTTGGTGCGTTTCCAGTGTTCGTATTAGATGGAACTCCTTCGCCCTTAAAATCTAAGGCAAGGATTATGAGATTCTTTCGGTTATCTGGTATGGATGCTTCTGATCTCCCAAAGGTTGAAGATCGGATTTCAGTTGACAGAAACCGCAAATTTGCCAAATGTGTTAAAGAATGTGTGGTAGGATGTGCTTCACTCACTAATGACTATTTTTATCACCTATGCTCACCAATTTAGACTACATTTGATTTAATTTGTTTTCGATCGAGAATAATATGTTTTGTGCGTCAACTACGAAGGTTTTGGGATGTTTGGAAATTCCCTCCAACGTCCCGATTCAAGCCGCTAAGTGAAAAGCTAAAAAAATTTAATAGTCTTGTTTTCTCTCGGAGTTGACTTTGGGTCGGGTGAAGTCGTCTCCAGAGGTAGTGAGGTGGATCATGAGCATAATGCAAGGTGTGGAGTCACCTGATACAGTGGTTATAGAAAGGAAATGCTTTTGTGCATCTTGGGGTTTTGTTTTGTCTAGTGTCTACAATTTTATTCTAGATATTGAATTCCAAAGTCCTTGCAATGTTGATGAGCTTTGTCTCTGAATGTGCACCAACTTTTGGGTTAATTTGTGCAATCCTTTTCCATTTGTGTTACTCACTGCTGCATCTTTGGTGCTTTTGTTTGACTTCCAATGCTCATCATGTGTCTTACTAATAGTTGCTTCATAGGAACTGCTTGAGCTATTTGGGATGCCTGTTTTAGAAGCAAAAGGAGAAGCCGAAGCACTATGCGCCGAGTTGAATAGTAAAGGCTTTGTGGATGCCTGCATCACAGCTGACAGTGATGCTTTTCTGTTTGGGGCCAAATGTGTAATTAAATCCTTCCATCCCAATTCCAAAGCAAGTAATCCTATCTATACCAGTCTTCTTTATTTGAGACTTCTTTCTTTGTCTTTCCTATCGAGTATAATATACTAAGTTGTTGAGTATAAGAACATCTTCACATGCAGGAACCATTGGAATGCTACTTCATGTCAGATATTGAAGCTGCACTTGGGTTGAATAGGAAGCATTTGATAGCAATCTCTCTCCTGGTTGGAAATGACCATGACTTAAGTGGGGTGCAAGGAGTTGGGCTTGATACCGCTGTTCGTTTTGTCCAAGACTATACAGATGATGAGATTTTGAATAAGTAATAATTAGCTTACATGTTCTTTTTAAATACCAATAAGTAGATTTTCCGATTATTATTCGGCATTTTAATTGAGTTTGAACTGCTGAGTGTTTTGCAGATTGCATGAAATAGGAAACAAGGACAACAGGGTGCTTCAGGGTGGTCTTCAATTGGCAAACGACTGTGGACAATCTTCGGACGTGAACTTGAGAAAGATCAAGTGTTCTCACTGTTCATACTGTGGTCATCCAGGCAGCAAAAGAGCTCACGTTAAGTCTCCGTGCGAATACTGTGATGCAAGTCAAGGTGATGGTTGCGTAAAGAAGCCAGAAGGATTTAAATGCAATTGTTCCTCATGTGATACGGTACCTCATGATCATGTCCCTCTGATTTTTCTCTGCAATTTGGTCTGCTTAGATCACAATTTTTACTCATTGTGCTACCAGAATCCATTATTTCGTAAAATTTTCCGCTTTATTTGCTTCTTTTACATAAGCAACATTTGTTTTGGATTTTCCCAATATTGTTTAATAAGCTATTTTTCGATTCTTGATTGGCAGGATCGAGAAGAAAAGGAGAAAAAGAAGCAAGAAAATTGGCGATTAAGAGTTTGCAACAAGATTGCTGTGGAGCCAAAATTTCCCAGTAGCGAACTTATTAAAATGTATCTGTGTGACAATCATAGTCATTTCAGTGGTATGAGTGGTTACGTTTGCATTTTAAGTGATAAATATTGTTAATGGTGTCTTGATTTGATACATGTTGATGACCGAGGAATTAAAATCGTTTCGCTCTGGCAGCAGACGGCTGTTCGAAAACACCTCCATCATCTCCCTCTTTAAAAAAAGGAAAAAAAAAAAACTCTGAGAGCTGTTATCAGTGTCTATGATCAGATGTTTTAAACTTTTATCTTATTTGATCTCTTTCTACTGCAGATGACGACCTTATCTTATCCTGGGGGAGCCCGAGAACCGAAATGCTGGTTGATTTTTTAGTTTTTCATCTACGGTGGGAGCCATCTTACATTCGTCAGAGGATGCTTCCCATGCTATCCACCATTTTTCTCAGAGAAATGGCGAATAATCCAATTGGAACTTTGTTATACGGGCAGTATGAGTTCGATTCCATACTTCGAGAGAAAATAAGATATGGACATCAGTTTTATGTCGTCAAATGGAAAAAGGCTGTCCCTGCACTCAGCAATGTTATATACGAAGGCTCTTCTGAGGGATCCGGTACTGGGCCAGAAGATGGCATTGATGTCGACGAACCCGTGGATTTGACAGATGAATCTGACTCCCCGAAGATTCATATTCAAGACGGTTGCTCCTTTCTACTGACAGATGAAAATATGGACCTCGTTCGTGCTGCTTATCCCGAGCAAGCTGCCAAATTTTTGCATGAAAAGGTATCATCATTTCTTCCATCTTGATCTTTGTGGTAATGTTTTTTAGCTTCCCTTGGAGGGCTGTTTGAACTTTCAGTTGATGGCTTGTATTGTGTGTTTGTGATTTTATCTGATGGATTTCTAAAGCTGCAATGGATTATTCTCATATTTGAAACTTTATTGGAACTAAAGGAATTGAAAAAGCAGAAGAAATCAACCTCAACGCCTTGTGGGACGAGCGAAAAATCAGATTCATCGAAAGTGAAAGGTGTCCAGTTGAGTATTACCGAGTTCTACCGTTCAACCAAAGCACAACAAGCAGCAGAGAGAGTAGATTCGACAAATGAGGGTGAGGAGACGAGCACGGGAAAGAGGAAGGAATCAAGTACCACTCTTTCAAAGTCGGTAAGGCGTCGCCTTTTGTTTGACTAGTACCACTCTTTTAGCTGTTGGTGTCCCCTGTCTGATTTATGAAATGCAAATGCTGCAGTTTAAAATGTGTATAAAGTTCCTTTTTTCAGCTAATCTAGATAGTTTGAGCATTCTTTTGTTATTAAGCATTGACTGGTGCTCATTGTTGCAACTAGAATAGATTATGTTTACAAGAGGAGAAGAGTGTGTTAGTCTAACTCGCGTGTGTTCGATTTCAATTTAGTCCCTATAATTTTCAAAGTTTCAATCTAGTCCCTTTAATTTGGTTAAATTTTTCAAAACGTCATTACTGTCATAGTTTTCATGGCTTCTTTGAATGTGGCAAAGAGAGGTATGATATGATATAGATGTCGGTGTTTAAAACACGTCCGATAAGAAAATTATTAATATCTTTTAATGGTTAGAAACGTTTAAGAGATTTAACCAAATTATGAGGATTAATTTGACACTTTTAAGACTATAGGGACTAAAACAAAATTGAAATAAAAAACAAATCACAAATCGTACTTTACTAAATAGTAATTTTTTTTCTCTCTCTTAAAGTTGATATTGCTGTGTCAATTTTATTTATTTATTTTATGGAATATAGCAATAAAAATGTGGGGTGAAATTCAAACCTTCAGTTCATAAGAAAAATTACTAATGCTTTAAAGGAAAAGTTACTGATGCATTAATTGTAGACAGGAAATGTAAGCATAAATGAAACTGCAACAATAATTTTATTTCACAAATTACTTTTCAAATTTTTAAAGACAAGAATTTAAAAATGGTTTTCCAACTAAAGGAACTAATAAATTATTTAACTTATTTTTAGAAGTAGAAAGCTCAAACAAAATTGTTATCAAACATAAACATACCCTAATTTGTGGCTAGCTTCAGAAAATTTTTAAAAATCTTAAACTTAATTTTTATATATTTATTTGAAGCTATTTTTGTAATTCCTTAATTAATTTATTTTTTTTTCTTTGAAACAGTGGATTTTTGAAACCCTTGGGAGGATTTGACATATCAAAACTATTTTTTTTACATTTTAATCACAATGATGACGTATGCTGAGTTTTTCTATTTTTAATACAACATTGAATGTAACCCGAAAGGAAAGAATAGTGTGTTTAACTGTTGAACTATGACTATATTTTTTTAGGGATACAAAACAATAAACTAAGAGATAGAAAAATAAGATAAAAAGTAGAAATACAAGTTAGTTAGTGAAACAACTTTCCTAGCTACTCAAACTCCCCGATGAACATATGAATCTCGCGGTCCATGGGCGCAAGTGTTCTGATTTATTTGAGATATGGTTGTAGTAGAGGAGTTCATCATTCGTAAAGCTTCATCGGTGAACAAACCCACCTGTGTCAGATTTGATTCTTCTCCCTTGTGCATGAATATTACTTCAAGGTGATCTAACTCTACGATTACTTTGAATTGGTGGTTCGAACTAATAACTTTCAAGCCCTCTGAAATTGCCATTGCTTCGATGACTTTGATAGGCCATTTCCAATGTATAAATTGACAACTATGACTAAGGATCTCGCCAGTTGTGGATAATCCACCCTATGACTAAGTGGGGATTACTAGAGCCACTGCTTTAATTAAAACTTCTCTTCCTCCCAATAAGTATAATTTCTCCTTCCATCTCTGGAGCACTTTCTTCCTACGCGCTATTCCCATGTTGACACATATGCTCTACTAAATTATATAGCCACAAACCAACAATAGAGCATGAAATTTATCGCAATATAATGTGTTCATATACAATCCATAAACGGTACATAATTTCTTGTTTAGAAGGGACAATCATACGTAAATGAGAAGAATTTCTTCGACGACATGTCTGTGATTAATTTTGTCTTACTTTTGCTAAGCAATGATTCTAAAAATACCATAACTTTGGCCATTTGAATAGTTAATGAAAATGTTCAAGTTACAAATATTGGGTTGGAATGAAGGATCAAACAACTTACCTTAAAAAACCACTTGAAAAAAATGGTAACAATTTTCTAAAGATGGAAATTTGTTATGGTAGAGACTGATATATTTTTCATTCCCCTCCATAACAAAAATCATATATGGTAGTCTTCTTTTAGATTAAATGTGATGCCAAAATGGTACTTTTTTATAACAAGCATCCATCATTTATGCTCTAAGTTTCATATTCATATTTTTATTGCAAGAACAAGATAATTTCTGTCTCTTGTTGGAGGGATGGAATTGACAAAAAAATGGATGCTAAATGAAGTAATCAGAGTTTTGGTGGTGGATCATGATTCTGTAACTCTAAAAGTTGTTTCCAAAATGCTGGGTGTATGTGGATATCAAGGTAAGATTTGGTATTTTGGTGCATAAAATTAACTAGAATTTTAAATTATATTGGTTTTCAAGAGTTTGTTTGATAACGTTATCGTTTCTTATTTCCATTTTTCTTAAGAAACCAGCTAGGCATGTTGCCACTAACTATTTATTGCACCCTCAAAATTTTAAATTTTAGAAACAAACAAAAACAAGTTTCTTCGTTCTTGTTCCCATTTTTAACTCGTTCCAAAACATATATAAAAATATTATTTTATCATACTTGACATTTGTGGACGACAAAGAAACAATAAACAGAAACGTTACCAATCGAGCTCTAAATTTTCGAATTTGTTGTGATTTTGTTGTTTCTAGTTGTTGATTTTGTTTTTTTAAAGAAATATAAGTCTTTTGGTAACTATAACTTTCTTTAACTTAAAAGAAATGTTCTTGAAATTGTATACAAAATACAAATTCTGGAAACAATAGAATTTGGCAATAACCATTTTATTCTTAGTTTTCCATAGTTAAAAAGTCACGCTTGTTTGTTCACAATTTCCTTGTTATCGTTAAAAACACATTTGCATTTATTCTTAGCCAAATTTTTAAATAAAAACAATTAAAAAAAAACTACTATTTTAGTTTTCAAAATTTTACTTAGATTTTGAAAACCTTTTTAGAAATGTGGTTAAAAAAACGAAGAAATATATAAGTGAAAGTATTGCTTACCGATTATTATTAATAATATTTTTATATATATATAATTTTTTTTTCTGCGTGGCAGTTGTTACTGCTAATTGTGCCATTGGTGCATTGAACATAGCACAGGAGAGAGAAGAAGATCTTCATCTAATTTTAACAGAACTCCATTTGCCTGATATGGGCAGATATGAGCTCCTAGAGAAGATGAACCAAACATCCAAATTGCCAATTGTTAGTAAGTTTCCCTATCTCACTGCACAAATAAGACTATAGTTATTTTGCCTCGATGAAATCGCTCCCGACGAAAACTGTCAATGATTCATATTGAAAAAATAAGGGACCTAACCAGTGTTTATAATAAAAGCGAGTTACATCTGTCATTGTCAATTGATTTTGAGATGGAATCATAAATATTGACATAGTATCAGAGCCACACTCAAACGAGTATCAAATTTAAAAATGAATCCGACCAAGATTGGTAAACTAAAAAGAGAGCATCTTAAGAATCTCAGGTTGAAAAACTATGGTACCTAACAAGAGTTTACCAAATAAGATTATTTTGAAAAGTAATTTTAGCCTTCCCGAGCATTCCAACGGTGTTTGGTAAAAACACTAAAAAGAATAAGCACTTGTAATTAGTATGTCTAAAAAGTGCTTATAAAATGAGTGCTTTCTCTTGAGAACGACATTTTTGTTTCAAAAGTCAATCTTGAACTCTCTCTTAATCTTGCTAAATGATAATTTTCCAGTTATGTCTACGGATGATGATGGTATCACGAAGTTAGGCTGTCTTTTCAAGGGAGCTCTGCTTTATCTTGTCAAGCCACTCACCATAAAGAATGTAAGAACTCTCTGGCAATTTTCATTCATCAAAGGAAGAGAAAGAACCATCCTCGTTGAAGTACCGAATCGAGTTCGAGAAGAATCGATCGATGAGAATGAATCGGAGAATGATTCCAAGAGAAATGAGAAGAAGAAATTCCAAAAGATCAGTAGTAGAGAGGCAGAAGAAGATGAGATTGATTCAACAGTGGTGAAAAAGCCAAAGCTAATTTGGAGTGAAGAATTGCATAATAGATTCTTGCAGGCCATTAAAGCATTGGGAATTGACAGTAAGTGCTTGTTTATTATTCATTCTTCTCCCTTTTCTTTTCTTTTTTATTTCTCTCATTACAATTAAAGATTTAACTTTGTTTCTTCAATTAGAAGCTCATCCAAAGGAGATACTTCATCACATGAATGTCCCTGGACTAAGAAAAGAAAATATTTCAAGCCATCTACAGGTAGTTTTTCTTTACCAAAAAAAAAAAAAGAAAATGTTTGAATACAATTTTGGTCCTATAATTTTGCCTTTTTTTAGTTCTATGGGTAGTCTCTCTACTTTATAAAACGTCTATTTTGGTCTCTGTATTTTTTGATCCCTATTTGTAAAATTTCAACACAAATTTTATCTACAATGAAAACTCTTTAATGCAAATTTACGACTATCTTTCAAGAAATTTAGGGATTAAAATGTCATGTTGAAATTGTGGTGGAAAGAAATGAGATATGAAATGAAAGAACCAAAATGACCGTTTTTTAAAAGTACAAGGACTAAAATGGACATTTAGAGAATGTAGGGATCAAAATAAATAAAAGTTAAAAATAGATGAGACCAAAATGAACGTTTTGAAAGGACATAGACTAAAATGAACCTACAGGGACCAAAATAATATTTAAACTTAAAAAAATATGCTCATTTTTCCTATTTTGGATAACTATAAATTTGATAGTAGCATACTTAGAATTTTATACCTTATACCTTAAAAAGTTTCAATTTAGTAATTTAGTCATTGAATTTTAAGTTGTATATGTTGTAGTCTTTGTTATTAACATTATTAACTAATAATGATGACATGACATGTCTATTAGACAGATTCTAATTGATTTGACATAACGTGACAGATAAATGACACACAAGATAGATAAAGTGAAACGGTCTTGAAAAAGAATTTGCTATGTTACTTCAAAAAGTGGGTGATGCTACACATATTTGTCACATCGTGTCTAACTGTTTTCCGTCTTGGGTCAAATCATCACACACGTTTACTCAAATGGATATGTCTTATTATCATGTAGTCAGTGATGTTAATGGCAGGAACTACGTAGAATTACAATTCAAAGTTCAAATAACTAATCGAAAACTTTTAAAGTTTTTGAAACTGAGCATTCACAAATTCAAATTCGAGAGACTAAATTTATAATTTAACCTTTCTTTTTTAGAAGTTTCGTCTCTCATTAAAACGAGATCGGGGAATTTCTAAAACTTCTATTCTCGGAGAGGAGTCAGTTCAACTTTCAAACCAACAATATGGAAGGCAAGTACCCAGTAATATTGGTGTTTTCATGGCTAAGCCTTCATTTGGTCAAGAATCTCAGCCTCAACTAAGCAACAATCTACCTTCAAGTTCTATCAACTCCAATCTTTTTGGAAGCCATGATGAGGTCAGTTTTGAAAGTCTTAACAATGGTAATATGAACCGTTCTTGTTACGCCAAAGCAATTTCGAATGATTTTATACAACAACGATCATTAGATCAAATGAAATGTCAGAATTTATTTGAATGTAAAAGAGAAGAAATGATAATGTCGACAATACATCAACCGCCACAAATGGAAGATCGACATTGTATGTTTAAGGTTGATGCAGGGCAACTTGATGGAATATTTGATATGGTCAAAGACTATACTATAAATTTGCATGACATTTGACAATAAAGTGGTATTAAAAAAAAAACTTTACTATGGTTTACATTTAATTTATGGCCTACTAGTGAGTGTCCAAATTAGTATAGGTACGCTAAATAATTTATAACTCATAAGATATTAAATTCTAGGTAGGTGGCCGATATAGCTTGAATTCATTCCCTCTAAATTCTTTAGAATTTACTTTAGTTTATTTGGACGAGTGATTCACGCATTATATTAGAAATGAGGGATGTTTTAACTTTGAGAGCTTCGTAACTTGGGTTATTTCTTTGTGCCCCATGTATACTTAAGCCTGAGGGCTTTGAAAACTTTGCATATGCTGATAACTACTAGCAAGGATTTTAAACTTTTTGGCTTAGTCAATTAATTAATTTGCCAATCTAAATGTGCTGTATTTAGATAAATAAGACATGAATCAGTTGCTCAAAAATTCTATATAGAATCGGAGACAAATATTTTAATATAATTGGAGAAGCTTAAAAGGTGATTAGACGTAGTCAACCACTAAAGCCCGTACCTTTTCAAGCCATTTAAGACATTCATCTCTATAAAATATTTTCAAATCGTTAGAAAGAACCGAAACATTTATAAAACTATACCAAATGCACTCTAAATTAATAATTATGAAAGAATCTCTAGATCTCGCAGAAACAAAAGACCTCCTAACTTAATTTTTTTTATTCTTTTGTGTTAAAAAAATTCATAATAATAAGAGTGGTTTTTTTTTTATTTATTTAAAATATCACTTTTTTTTTCCGAGAAAATTAATTGATGAAATAGGGAGACAAACAAATTTTAACATATTGGATTAAATTTTGAAACCTAAAGGCAAAGTTTTAGAGAAGAAGTGAATATGGAAGCCATGGCAGAGGGAGCTTCACCATCATTGCCCGACCTTGTACTGTCGCTGGAGCAAGCATCGTTCATGGCTAAGCAGCTTCCTTCCACCTCTAACCCATCCCATCTCCTTCAAATCTACAATTCTCTACACCAAGCAAACCACAACCTCTCCATTTTCCTCTCCGGAACCCAGTTTCCCCAATCTCTCCCTCTCCCTCGACCTTCCCTGAACGAAAATTCCCTCTCCTCTGCCACCAGCGCCGCCTTCAACGACGACGGGAACGAGCCGATGCAGGTCGGCGATGACGAGCAGAACTCCAAGGGCAGCATTGAAATGGTGGAGGAGAAGATGAAGGATTGCTTCATCAAGAATAAGCGGGTTAAGCGTCAACTCTCGCCGTCGACGGCGGCTATGGCGGAGGAAAGGCGGTTACATCGCGATGATCGGTTCGGTGCCACATCGAAAGGTTTCGATCCTCGTGTTGAGAGATTGCGAGCGTTGGACCTTATTTCCCAGTTTCATGCGTGAGTGACGGACTACGTTCCCGAGTTTGGAAGATTGAGATAGAAGAGTTAAATCGCATTCCGGTGAGGTTCTAAACATTACAATTTGTGTTATCGCCGTTGATTTTATTTTTTCATTCTTCAATTAGCATTACGGAATGAAACTCGAAATTGAGGCAATTGGAGCCCTTTTGGTTCAATCATTTTGGTTCTTATTTGTTTGTGATGATCCGTTTCTGAAGTTTTCTGTATGTTTATCAAATTTGAAACTCCTGAGAATGATTTTCTGATGATACCCTTACAAATTTTATGAAAATGCAAAGCATTACATATGCCCTGAGTTTGTAAATTATGTGCTGATTGTAGAAGTTCTACACTTCCACTGGCCTTGAAAGGTTATTCTTATTGTATATTCTATGATACAATAAGCTTCATTCTTGTACTTAGAATGTTATGTCTTATCTATTATTCATTTTTGGATCACTGGAATTTCAGAAGACATTTGTATGATACTTGAACCCACATAATTAATCTGACAATCTGTGTGGCCTTTTCTATTTGTATAATTATCCACTCCACATTTGCTGGCTTATGTGAGTATCAGTGGGTGATCATTGAGAAGTTATGTTTTTTCTTCTTTTAGAAAAAAAAGGGTTTAGTGCAAACATCTATTGAATAACTGATATTTAAAAGTTCTGTTCTCATGTTTTCTGAAGATGACATGTTTTAGAACAACTGAAGTTCTTTTACAGATTATGGGTCCGTAAATAGTGTTTTCAACTTTCAAGGATACAATAACATTAATGTTTACTGGTCAAAGCTATTTATTAAAATATCTTGCTGATGCCCTTTCAGTTTTTGTTGTAAAATCGTATCAACTTGGTTCATTTAAGACTGGCTTAAACTCAGATTTATTAGTGCACAAAGGTTTTCAAGGTAATTTACATTCTCTTGTTTCTTTTTAGCTTGTTTCACCGATGGGCTATGCTTTAAAATAAGTGAAGTTGTTCTTATTCTCAAAATTACAGGCCTGCACATAGTGATTTCAAAGGCACAATTTCATTAGCTTTTACAGAAACCTGAAATAGCATTTATAAGCAATTTTTGGAAAAAAAAAAAAGCAAACAACTATATAGCTCCCAAACTGCCCCTTTTTTGTTGGAAAGTTTTGTCAATTTGGTTTATTTTAAGAAATGTTTTAACTCTGGCTTACATAAGTTTCCAAGATAACCTCAATCATCTGGATGAAAGCATGAAGAAAATTTTATAGAAAGTTGCTTAAAAAAGGATTTGAATTCTGTGGCGGTATTCACTTTTCATTTTGCTTTATCTTTTATTATGTGATATAATCTAATAATCTCATTCCTATATAGTGATGGAGATGAATTAAGAGTCCCGACTAGGCTATATGCTAGAGGGAACTCAATTTCCATAAGAAGGTGCATGGATCTCAGTACCAATATCAAGGTTGAAGAATAATGTAACGAGGGTCAATGTGTTCAAGGTTTCTTGCCAGTTTCTTTGGGAATTAGATTACCAACCGAGCTATTTTCCCAGAGGTCCAAGCCATATCGATGCTAACAGGACACCACTGTGCCTTCAATGAGTGTCAATATGTTAATGCTGTATGGGAATGGAATGGAAGGACTACTTGTTGAAGAGACAACAACACAGCTGATTTCTTTTGTGCACAGAAAGAAGTAGAGTGTTGGAGCACGACCAACTGCTACACAAGGCTGAGGTTGACTTCTCTGTACTGAAATCCTGTACATAATTGTATTGCATTTTTCTTCTATGGCCAGGTATTGAGGTCTCACTCATTGCATTATGCTCATGGCCTACCCTACTAATCCCCGAAGATGCTATGCCTTCCAGAAGACAATAAGGATTTTAATTTACCTAGGTTTCGGTTCTGTGTTTTCTTCCTCTGTATAGTCTCCATTGCGTGCTTTGAATAGTACAATGCATATTTTTCTTGATTTAGACCCTATGTTGCATAATTTCCTCTCGTGACAGTTGAAAATAAATAGATATTGATGATAAATATCAAATACACTAATGTTTTGATGAAATTGCAAGGCCACCTGCACCCTTATATCTTGTGGATGTCGTTTATTTTAGTCTTTCGAAAGAGCTGCAAGTTGCCAAAATTTTCCTTGAAAATTTATTTTATTGACAATTTCATTCATTGGATGTGATATTTTATTAAGACATTTCACATTGTTGTGCATACCTAAATATCTTGACAATTCAAACTTATAAAGTTCAGCTACTTCAAATATCTACATTTCAATGTTTCTGCAAGTATGCAATGTCCAGAATTGTGGCTGTAGAAAGATCTGCAAGTAGAACTCAAAAAAATCTTCATTGCTGCAAGTTTCTGCCAAACTTCCATTTGAAATATGTTTGATTGAGGAAGAAACTTATGGAAATATCCACAACATTATGAGAATTCATTGCATTGTTTGAGAAGGCCTGAATCTATACTACACAATGCAAAAGAATATGAAAACAATGCTTTGTACAGAAGTATGGGATATCCAATTGTATAATCAAGCGCCTACCTACCCAGCATTGGGGCCAAGAAGAAAATATAATTTACTCATTGTCTCATTTCCATCTCTCTTTGAACCGACGAGTTTACAGGTACAGGTACAGGTTCAAGCCCCCATGCTTGGCTGCTTGTGTTGCCCTCCGAACGGCTGGGGTCGGATATAAGCCAGTGTCGAGAATGATGGTCAGTAGAAATCTCAGAAGCATCAAAAGATTGATCTCTGCTCACAGTTACTGGTCTTACAGGTTTTGTAACAAAAGATTCTTGCAATGGCAGCCTGCAAACTGGACAGGTAGATTGCTTTCTCAGCCATTCATCAATGCAGGAAAGATGGAAACTGTGACCACATTTGGGCATTATTCTCAGTACTTCCTTCTCTTCATAGTCACCCAGACAGATTGAGCACCTAGAAGTGGAGTAAAATGATCCATAGTTCAATGAGTTAGTTTATCATCTACTTGTATATCAGTTCTACAAGAAACACTTAAAACTTTTTCTCAGGTGCAATGTGAATGAAGCAGTTCTACTTACTGGGCATCTTCTACAGAACTGAAAGCCTCCCGATTGAACTTCATCGTAGGTATGGCCGCTATGAGAACCGGTTCGAGACCGCTACGCCGAGACTCTGGCTGCAATCAAAAGAACCAGTAAGGGTTCACGATCTCCTAACTACTTCACTATATAGATCCAATGAGGCACAGGCACACCAAAAATGGATCAAACCAATGGGATTCATGATCTACAAGTGTATCAGATTCAGAATCACAGCAGCAAATTACAGGATATGGGGAAGAAACATGGTGTGCACTGCAGATCCAGGGAAGATGAAAACAAAATACCTGGCGCTCAAGATCAAGTCTGGACTCAATCTCGTAATTGGGTGTGGTGGAATCAGATGAACGAAGCCTGCCGCATATGATTCTTGTGCAGACGAACACTATGAATGTGGCACTCATTCCGAACCCGATCACAGTGGTAACCAAGTTCATACCCGAACCCGTCATCTCCAAATCCCCAAATCTCTCCCACCCAGAGAGGAAGAGGAAGAAGAAGAAGAAGAAGAAGAAGAAGAAGAAGAAGAAGAATCGAGATGGCTTGGAAGTGACTCAATGGAAGGAAGTAGACAGTTGGTTGTGTTGTTCTTTGGAATCGTTGTCGTGGGGTCCGTGGGGGGGCTGGGCTGTGGATGGAAATCGAGGAGTGGATTTTTCTTTCTGCTCATCGAAGGGCTGAAGAAAGTGTTGTCAGAAATGGCGGCAAAAAGTCTGAAACGGTGAAAAAGAAAGTGCGATTTTGAGGAGATTCTTCTTCCCAGAGAGTTAACGTGCGATGGCAGCTCAAACAGAATCTCAAGGTTTCTCTTTCTCTCTCTCGCTCTCTCTCTCTCGATTGCTTTCAAGTTTTGGCCACCTTCTCTTTTGGATAAGGCCGTTGAGATTTTATTTTAACAAAATATGATTCTTGTCCACTCTTTCACTCTTTTTTTTTTTCTTTTTTCATTTATTTGTTTTACACTGAATTTTGAACAAGGTTTTATATATGTCGACCAACATAGAAATATGGAAGATGTTTATGCAGAAGTTAGACAAATAAAAAAATTATAAGAAAATATTGAAATAAGTAAATAAACATTTTTCTTTTTCTAAATCAGTTAAAAATAATTAATATTAATCTTATCTAAACATTTTGTTGTTTTTTTTAATATGATGGAAATGTTGATTTACCCCATATGTCGACGTCGAACTCTAGGATACATGAAAATGTTGATGTGTCGACGAATATTTAATACTATGGGTTTGAGATAATTTTTTAGATTATTTATAAAAAAAATTAGTGCATTATGAAAATTATGTATTTTTTTGGAAATTTTTAACTTTTACAGCCAGGTAAAGGGAGTTGATTTCTTGGACTTGAGGACTTGGATGGATGGGTGTTGCAATTTTTATGTTCTATTTGAAGAATTATTTTAAAAGAAAACATTTTCCAGTTTGCTAATTGCAATGAGTTATACAATCTCATCAATAAAAGTGTAAGATTTCGAACTTAGCGAGACCAAATGAAAACTCAACTCAAAACTTTGGGAACAAAAAAATATAGTTTAGTTTATCATATTGAGCACGTGCTTTATAAAATTTTGACTAAAAACAGTAAAATTTATTGGTGGGAAAATAAAAAAAGGAAAAATAAACAAATTTACAATAATTTGATCATAAGTTGAGGTGTCATTTCCAATCATGAGATGAGGAAAAGTGAGAAAGAGAAGGGTATTTTTGTCAAAGTGATGATATTTTTATTTTTGACCTATAATTTTAGTTTTAGGTGAAGAGATTTTAGCAAATTTGATTTTTGGTTAGTTGAAGTTTAAACATCCCTTCCACAAATCATAGAATATAATTTGCAATTATACCTTTAAAAGCATGCTTATCAAAGAACACATTTTTTTTTGGTTAAGGAAAGAAATGAATTTTTTACATGGCCTTATTCTTATGCCTTTTTCCTCTTGGAAGAAATGCATCCAAAATTTATCTCAACTTTGCAAGTACTAGTCTCAAAAAAGAACCTGCTTTAAGTACCATAATAGGTATAAATTGATGGTTTTCCACTTTTGGTGGACCACATGGGGCCTAAGTAACCCATATGTTTCACTACGACGTGTCGGGGCATACTAATTTATGTCCTAAATTTTCAATTTCATCGCAACGGGTTTTAGTGTTGCAATCTTTACCTTTATACTTCTATTACATTTCCTCACTAATTTGTACAAAAAGAAATGTAAAAGTAGGTCGTAGATTGAATATAGAAAGAAGGGCTTGTATTTGACAGATTTCGAGCAACCCCCAACCTTCGAGAAGGTCACTCCTCTCTCTTCCGGTAGGCCGTAGATTGAATATAGAAAGAAAGGCTCGTATTTGACAGATTTTGAACAACCCCCAATGTTCGAGAAGGCCACTCCTCCCTCTTCCAACTTGTTGTGACCTGACCACACTTTCATGCTTCGAACGAGATTTCAAACTCACTAATTTCAACAAAGAAGAACAAACTCTAATATTGAACTGTAATGACCATAAGTAGATCTCTTAAAACTCACGAATCAATTGTACTTTTATTATAACCTATTGTATATATGTGAAAATGAAAATATCTTTGGACCATTCTACAAGTGGAAACCTAACGGCCAAAACGAGCATAATTCAACGGTAATTGGTATATACATCCAACCATGAGGTTGTGGATTCGAACTCCCACTCCTACATGTTATATTCAAAAAAAAAAAAAAAATGAAACCTAATGTGTCTAAAAAAAACCTAACGGAAAAAAAAAAGTTACTAACTTTACCAAAGTTTATAAAAATTGAATTTGTTTCCCTTTGATCTATACTATTAAAAAGTTTAAATATATGTTTTTAGTTCATAATATATTAGTGTTTCTCTAATTTAGTCTTCACGTGTTAATTTTTTCAATTATAWCCCGTTGGTCAATGTTAGAATTAAGTGATGATAAATTTACGTAACATGATACTAAGCTAATAGAAATTTAGGTTTCTAATTTTTCCTCCAAATTTTTTAAGATTACTAGAAATTTAATTTCTTTTTCTCTATTTAGCCTCCTTTTTCATTTACAATTCTATCAACTCAATAATGTAACTTTACCAAGAAATGAAGTAAGCTAGGTTCATATCGACACACAAATATATATTAGGGAATAAACATATATTTAGCCTATTTAAGAAACGAGATACTTACATAAATAACGTAAAATAAATATTTTATATAAATATGGTAGGAAGTTCTATTTTTTTTTAAAGAACAAATTATGATATTCTTTTATTACGACAAAAATAAGAGAAGAGAAAGAGGTATTCCTAAGAATACTTAAATTTGGAGACATTGATGAGATAGATATGCATCTTGACGTATGTTTTCTTCTTTTCCTTTCAAAACCTCATAGAATTCAACTAAGGAAGTAGGTATAAGCCACAGTAGACGCGGATTTGGTGTTCAATCAACGATCAAGCAAGAGATTTCAAGTAACAATCAGTAGATTCAATTGCTAAAATTTAGGCAGTGGGATTCTTCTGCTATGTGGAATCTTATTGTTATCGTTCATCATTCTCTATCATCGCTCTATCAAAATCGCTCATTCTCTATCATCCATATATTATCACTCATTCTCTACTATTGCTCATGCTATCATCACTTAGTCTCACGGATTCGAATCACAAAACAAGGATTTTTAGTCATTTGTCTAACCAGCTGAGCTACCTGAACCACTTTCCTAAAGTCTGTTTTCTTCAAAGAATACGTCCTACCTTATCACTTGACTAGTAAGGGAAAAGCCATTTACTCAAATAAATAGTTATAGCTTTTTCGCTTGTTCGTCAAGCTTTCGAGCGGCTCTTTTAACTGCCGTCTAATCTCCCTATCGAGCTCAATTTTTATGGAGAAAAGGAAAGGAACCATTGTTAGCATAATAACTATTTTTAGTTTTTTACTAATTAATGTCATATGTTAAGTCAATATTGTCCTAGTGTTTAGAAAACTAGTTGATGACTTAGTTGGTTGTGGAGCGCTATTTTTGTCTAATTTGRTTATGTACTTGCCTAAATAAATAGGTCCTGTATTCTCAATTCAAAGAAGTGAAAATCATTCCTTCCTCACATTTGTTGTCCCTGTGTTTATTTTATTTTCTTTTTAACAACCATTTTAGATATTTTTGCATTCGAAAAATTCTATAATCACCATTTTTTTTTTATTTGAAAAGCCCAATCCTAACTTCTCCCAAATGAAATCTAACGAGGAAAAAAACTTTCTATTAAACAAAAAAAAGGGAATTAACTAGAAAGAAAATCACTATCGTGAAACCCATCGGCGCAATCTCGTGGGTTTGCTCTCTGTTTCCGGCGCCGGCGGTGAAGAGATTAGTCTGGACGACGGACTGAGATGGAGGTGGCGCAGTGGGAGCAGGCTTCGGTGGAGTGGTGGCGGCGGCGCGTGGAGGGCGGGATAGGACATTGGAGGTGACACAGATGGTCTCCCCATGGAGGTTTTAAGGATGGAAGAAAGTTGGAAAGACGAAGTTTTAAAGGGTGGAACCTTTTGGTAGTTTATTAGTGATTTAAAAAAAAAATGAAGTAGGATTGATTTTTCAAATTTATTGTTAAAATAATATTTTAAAAATCAATTTAAAGTAATTTAAGCTTTTCTAAAATCAATTTTTAATTTGCCAAATATGATCAACGTACCGACCATAAATTTTGACAATGATAAATTTCTATACCGTTAAAGTTGTGTTTGTTGCTTTAAAAGCACTTTTTTTAGTCATTTTATTCTTCTTATCTTTTGCAAGTGTAGTTTGATTGCATATATCTCAAACTAAGAGCTTGTACGCTCGAACTGATGCCGAAACTGACCCGGTCGATTTTCAAAAAATGGAAATCGACCATTTTTTCCTTCCTTGTTGATCACAAAACCTTTGGCAGTTGTCTGTATTTATGCAAACTGAAGCACTCGCACTCTGTATTAAATGCAGTCTGCACATAATTTAATGTTTTTTTTAAATAAACTATATAAGGTCTGTGACTTGGTCGGAAATCACTTTTTCGAATGATTGATAAATCGATTGAATCCTTCATCAGACCGACCGACCAACGTAGTTTCGATTAGTTGGATCGATTTTTCGAAGTTTTTTCTCACCCCCTACACGTAAACAAAAGTTTAAAAGTTGAGCTGATATTAAAACTTTATAAAATATAAAAACTATATAGACACGACTTTAAGCATCAAATTTATAATTTAACTTATTTTCAAAAGTTTTCAACAAATGTGAAGGTGGGAGACCAAAATTTCAATCTTAGAACAAGAAACTTGTAATAGGACAACTCATGTAAAATAAAGTTTGATCTCATGACTAAAGAGTGAGTATCGTACCATCAAACTTTAATTCTTACGCATACATTGAATAATCTTATGAAACAATTGTATAATACTACAATATTTAGTCACATAAAGAATTTTAATATATGAAATAGGTGACTACCACAAAGTTTGATTCTTAACTACTTGTAAAACAACTTTTAAATGCACAAGCACAATCATTTTGAGACATCATTCACAATTCGTTAATTTAAATAGAGTTTAATGAAATTCAAACTTTAAGATTTAAAATGGACTCAAATCAAATATAAAGTAGAACCTCACTCTCCCAAAATCTCCCAAAAATCTCCATTTAATTTGTGTTAATACAATTTAACTAAAACTAAGGAAAAAAAAAAAAAAGAATGACCCATGTTATGCTCAAACTAAGGATATGTTGTTTTCTTTGAAGTCTAAATCTTAAAAGAGGATAAATTAAAAATATAATTCAATTGTCATGTGGAGCCCAAAAGATCATGTACTTTTATGGCTGAATTTTTTGTTGCAATTTGGTCTTTTCAATCTTCAAGAAGATATGTTTCTCAAAAAGAGGGAAAAAAAACTCCAAAAAGATATTGTGTCAAATGGTCATGCATGGAAATG